ATCATAACGCAAATGCATCTATTCTTCTAAGGTTGTCCTTATTCACTGTCCAATTTTCAATCGCATATGAGGTTATTGAAAATACCATGGTTTGGGTCAGGCACGCTTTAGTCCTCAAAATGACTCTGTTAGAGCTTCTTAATTCAATACATACGTATATATATAAATTATATGCATTTCCAAACATTTTTATACTTTAAAGTTTTATGTATTTTAGTGTTTGAAATTATGTAAGAACTCTGAGAAATCACAGGACAAACACAGATAAAACATTATTTAGGAGAAAAGAAACTAAGTATTAGATCAAAATGAAAATTTTGTAACAAAGGCAAGCAGAGAACATTGACAAAAAGACAATAATTTAAAATCCAAAAAAGAAGTGATCAGATGAATGCAATGTGAATCATTGGTAAGGTATAACCTCCACTGAATAATAATGGAATAACTCTGAGCGTTCCTATGTAAGACCGTGGGCGAGTGAAGCCAATCAAAAAATATGACAATATTTTATTGATAGTTATTGACATTGACTAGTTTGGTGAATGATATACTAAGTACAAATAGTTTGATCAAGGATGGTCCTTTCTCATCTCTTAGCCTTTCTTTTTTTGCCATATTTTCTCACAACAAGATTTTTTTTAGCTGATGTGGACTGAAATAAATAGGGCAAGTCCATTTTGTAAGAGTTCTGGCCCCTCACCCTTTCTATCTGAAGATTTCTGGGGTGTCCACGAGAACTTCACTAAGAACATTCTTTGGGTCACCTGTTCTTCGCTTCTCCATACCACACGCCTTTTCTTTCTGCGGTCAGGAATATGACATCTGAAAATACACACGAGCTCCCTTCTTTAACCTAGAAACATTCCTATTTCCTGTTCTTGTCAACTCAAATCCCCATCTCTCTTGCCCACTGATTCTAACCGTGTTGCTCACTTTCCACAAAGAGGGCAATACAGTTCTTTTTTCTATTGTATCTGGAAATTATTTTAAAGCTGAACAAGTCTCCATTACTAAACAATAAAAAAGGAAATTTGCTTAAGACTCTAGCAAACACTGAAGATAAAAAGAAAACGGAAACTCAACTTTCACAATCAATGCCATATCAAGATCTAAAATACAAGGAAGAAGTGATGACTAAAAAAAATACAGTTTTTGTGTGTGTGTGTGGGTGTGTTATTAAGTGTTATTAAGCTAGCTTCGTTTTGTTGTTAATAAGTGCTGTGAAGACAGTTCCAACTGATAGCCGCCCTGTATAGTTTCCAAGGCTGTAAATATTTACAGGAGCAGAAAACCTCATCTTTCTCCCTTGGAACAGCTGGTGCACTCAAACTGACGATCTTCTGGTTTATAGTCCAGTACTTATCCTGCAGAGGTTCTGGTAACGTAGTGGTTAGGAATCAGGCTGTGAATCTTAAGGTAAAGAAACTACCAGCTGTTCCAAGGGAGGCCTTCTGCTCCGGTGAAAATTGGAGTCCTGGTATGGCGCTGTGGGTTAATGCACCAGACTACAAAGCCATCTGAACTGCAAGATGGGTGGTTCAAGCTCACCAGCCGCTCCTCAGGATCGACTGGTCAGGATGGACTCCATGGCACTTAACAACAGCAACTTATCCTACAGAACCGCCACACTCCTCTTGTAGCTATACATTTATAAAAATATTCTTGTCAATTGATTATTATACTTTATATATTATTATAATTATTACCATAAATTTATTATTAAGTTTTTAGGCATTACAGTTTTATGGACTGCTTTGGTATAATGGAAAGGACAAGATATAAGGCAATCAAATTCACTTGTTTGAGCTGAAGAGTGAAATGTATAAATGTTATTTTTAAGAGGATACTGATCGATTATGTGATGACATGCCTTTCTTTTTCATACAAAATATTTTCAAGAAAGCCTTCTGAAAACGTTTATGACACAATGGATACAAAAAAGGATTGACTAAGGAATTTAACCACTGAAGCCAAAATGCAATTTCATACCAATATGGTTTAGAATCCTTTTTTGAAAGTACAATTGTGAGCACAGAATATGGAGCCCAACAAATGGTAAAAGCACCTAAGAGAATGGCCAGTGACTTGGCTAATTTCTTGATTCTGAGTAGTTCAAGATGTTCCCTTTGGTGAAGAACTATGGAATCTGAATGTGATAGGGACCACATTTTGGACACCAGAGTATTGTTCTTCATCTGAGTACTCTGTGTCTCTGAATGAAGGCACATTCCTGTTTCCTTCAGTTCAGGAAGAGAAGTCCTTGAAAAGAGTCGACTCTTGAATGAGTGTCCACAATTGCTGGAAGAGACAGAAGAATTGAGACGAGGATGACTTTGGCACCTGCCAACACTGCCACGCTTCCATAGGCTCCAGTAAATATACATGTTGAAATACGCCACCGAGATGACTGGCAGCAGAAATTCAAAGACGGACGTGATGGCGATGATATGCATGTTTGAAAAAAATCCCGGTTCACATTTTTCTTTGTTTTTTTCCCAAGATGATGAAACTATTATTATTGGGCCATGCACTAAGAAGGCCAGCACCCAGACCGCCAACATCAGAGCCACAGTCGTCAAGATCTTAGTGTTTTTAGCTCTATAAGACACCTAAAAGAGACCAAATAAATGGTTTTCAGTATACTGAACATGTATTGATTTCCCAAGGTATCCCAGAGGCCCTCAGAAACTTCAGGACTGTGCAAAAGGTGGAACACTAAGTGGAGCTGGACATCATATCGTGCTGTGGTTTTTATTTTAGTGGAACACTTCTAGATGATATTCACAAGGACTACAGCAACCGGTAATGTAAACTTCTGATACAACAGAAGATATCTAAAATAAGAAACGGATATTTCATAATCTGCAGACACTAATATGAACAGTCAAGCAACTGATACTGCGTGGGACTTCTCACAACATTTCCTAATCTGCAGGCGGCGTCCTTAGGAGAACTGTCTCTTTTTTAATGAACTAGAATAGAACAGTAAATACAAGAATGATGAAACTTCTACTCTGGGAATACACTCCTAAGCATAAAGAGAGAGAAGCATGGATACTAAATCACAGTATAAAATTGCATTTCTCACTCTGGTCACAGTCAAAAAAAAAAATTGAAGGCTTAGCTGATTGCAGTATCCAAAAATCATCTAGTCTGCAGATCCTGCTGAAAGGTCAAGGTGGGATCAAGAAAGAAAGAAATAAGTCTTACAACAGTCTCAAGAAGGTGAAACGTAAAAAGTAAGAAATTTAAAGCTGCTGTGGAGAAACAATGCAGTGTTGTTGAGCATTGCCAATTTGCTTCTTTCTACAAGTATTTCCATCTGACAAATGCAGAACCAGCTTGTGACTAGCAGCCAGTCTGAGGTATAAGACTGGCAAATGCTGTCTGATCTACTCCCTTAACAAAGGTTAGTGGTGTTAAGTACTGTTGAGTTGGTTCTGACTCACAGTGACCCTATACAGGATATCTGAGGAGTGACTGGTGAGTTTGAATCACCGACCTTTCAGTTCAAATCAACCTTGCAGTCCAGTGCTTATCCTACAGCACCACACCAGGACTCAAGGTAAGTGAATTTATGTGCACCAGTAAGAGAGGAGCTCATCTTAAACACCTTAAAAGTTTTTCAAAGTAAATAACCTTCTAGATCCATTTGGTCACAAGAATAGGTCTTAGGAGGATTCAAAAAGCTTGTGGAGAAATTACATTATCTCATCATTCAATTTTTCCTTGTACTTTTGAAGCCCCTCCTAGTCACATAAGGAGTCTTAGCAGCATAGTGGGTTACAAATTGG